AAGTGCTTGATGCAAAGATTTTTGTAAGCAATAACCGGCGTGCGTGACCTGCCACCAACCGATTCATACTATGCACGTAGCAGTTTTCAAGCCGTAAAATCGATATATCAGACATTTAGATGATGAAGATCGACATTAAGCGATACTGCTAGGCTTGGAGGGGAAGCAGTGCTTGCGGGTTTTCGTGGTTTTTTTACGAAGGCCTTTTTAGCTGTTGTATCACAGCTTGTTGTCAGAATTGAGAAACGCTGGAAAATGTTTGAGAGAAGGGTGGTTTGTGCGTGAAAGGGAGTGAAGGGATAGAGAAAAAGAGAAATAGCAAGATGGCTGGCCTTTGCATGCATTTTTCTCTAGTTTTCGATTGGATTTTTGACAATCTAGGTCTAGCTGGGGTTAACTAGCTATATGTAATGGATTCACTTCTTGCTTGCAGCGTGGAATCGCTGTGCACCCGTTTCTTCCATGTAGGATTTTATCCACCCGGTTTATCGAATCGTTTGGGTTCTTCTTTAGCCAGCAAACGTGGAGACTGGGATAGATCAAGACATATCGATTGCTAACTGCTTCAGCTCCCAAATGACAAGCAGTTTTTTGTGCCTTTGGCTGCATGCCATGGCGGCTTGCTCTATGCCTGCTCTGAATGTCAGACGGCATCTGTCATATTTGCTGACTTAGACGCGATAATCTTAATTGATGTAAACAGCCTACTTGCAAGCAACCTGTTTGTATGCTCTGTGTTCAGTTTTGTGGTTTCGGTACTATGGTTTCAGGAAGAAACAGCGAGGATATATATCTCTGTTCAGGAAGTTCTTAGATGAGAACTTTGCAGGGTTTGATTTGCAAGGGTTTGAGTGCGTCCTACTAGAGCAAGAATGTTGTCGTTGGATCGAAGTTTACGTATGTACCTTCATTAAGGTGTTTACTGGATGGTTCTGCTGTCGGTGTGGAAATTTAGCATGGTGGCCTGTTGTCCACCCTGCTCCGCTGATTCAATGCGTTCTAAGCCTCTCAACCTCTAAGGTCTTGTTTATAGGTCGTTGTTTGTCTATATCGTCTTCTTTGCATCTAGCTAGTGCTCGGCGTGGATACACGCGGCGATCTTTCTAACACTCCCTCTCCACCCCAAATTGCGTTTTTGCCGAAATCCTGTGCGCGCGCGCGGCAGCGACGAGCGATGTCTGCACTAAAACTGACGTTTCTGTGTTTTTCCGCAGCGCGAGGGTGCTGCGTTCAGCATCCGTCGTCGAGATCACGGGGTACGTGCACACGTCTGCCTGTGTGTGACGGTGCGGCTGCTGCGCACTGTGCATGAACGCTGCAGTCACTAACACCCACCCTCCCTCCTCCCTCCTCCCTCCAACCCTCCACACGCGTACGGTTTGCGTGTGCTGACTCGGCGTCAACTATACGCTATCCAGTGGAGAAGTAGAAAAGGTGCCGGGTAGTATTGAGCCTGGAGAGGCAGTAGAGCTCTGTAGTCCCCGGGTTCTTTATTACAGCTGCTCCGTAGGATATAGTGTCACACTGATGCCGGTTACCTTGGGGAAGGGGGGGGGAAGCGTCATGAATGGGTACAGTTTGATGTATCAGGATGTTATGTCGTAGCTGTGGTGCATGCGTGAGTGGCATGTATGACTAATATTAATTTTATTTCTGTTATTAGCCTCGGTGCTGTTGCGACTACTCGCTCACAGCATCACGTTTGCCCGCTCCTGCAGTCAGAGAGAGAGAGAGAGAGAGAGAGA